ATTAATTTATAGTATAGAAAGACTTCGTACGTATATGTAATATATTTCTAGTGTATATATATATGTATCATCAAAACAGCAAATACAGGATTACCACTACTACTACTACTACTACTACTACTACTACTACTACTCCCGCTACTACTAGTACTACTCTATAGAATTATAGTACTATTATCGTACAACAACTAATCCTACTACTACTGCTACTACTACACTACTACTGCTACTACTACTACTACTACTACTACTCCTACTACTACTACTACTACTATACTACTACTAAAATTAACTACAACAACAACAACAACTACAACTACAACTACTACGAGTACTATTATTACTACTACTACTACTACCACTACTACTACTACTACTACTACTACTACTACTACTACTACTACTACTACTACTACTACTAGTACTACTACTAGTACTAGTACTACTACTACTACTACTACTACTACTACTACTACTACTACTACTACTACTACACTACTATACTACTACTACTACTACTACTACTACTACTACTACTACTACTACTACTACTACTACTACTACTACTACTATAGACTACTAACACCACCACAACGACAAGTACTTCTGCTACTACTACTACTATTACTACTACTACTAGTACTACTACTACTACACTACTACTACTACTACTACTACTACTACTACTACTACTACTACTGCTACTACTACTACTAGTACTGCTACTACTACTAGTACTACTACTACTACTAGTACTACTACTACTACCACTATAGTTCTCCTACTAGTAGTAGTAGTAGTATTAGTACTACTATTACTACTACTACTAGTAGTACTACTACTACTACTACTACTGCTACTACTACTACTACTACTACTACTAGCTACTACTGCTACCATTACTGCTACTCCTACTACCGCTAGTACTAGTACTACTGGTATTACGACACCTACCACCACTACTAGTACTAGTACTAGTACTACTACTACTACTACTACTACTACTACTACTACTACTACTACAGCTACTACTACTACTACTACTACTACTACTTCTACTACTACTACTACGACTACTACCACCACTACTACTAGTACTATTACGAATAGTACTACTACTACGACTACTACTACTACTAGCTACTACTACTAGCTACTACTACTACTAGCTACTACTAGCTACTAGTAGCTACTCCTAGCTACTACTATAGCTACTACTATTATGACTACAACTATACTACTACGACAACGACTACTACTACTACTGCGATTATATTATTATTACTATTACTACTACCACTACTACCACTACTAGTACTACTACTACTACACTACTACTACTACTACTACTACTACTTCTACTATTACTATTACTTCTACTACTACGACGACTACTACTACTACTACTACCACTAGTACTTCTACTTCTACTTCTAAAACTACTACTACTACTACTATTATTACTACTACTACTACTACTACTACTACTTTTACTACTACTACTACTACTGCTACTACTACTACTTTACTACTACTAGTACTAGTATTACTACTAGTACTACTACAATTACTACTACTACTACTACTACTACTACTACTACTACTACTACTACTACTACTACTACTACTAAGACTACTCCTGCTACTACTACTACCACTACTACGACGACTACTACTAGTATTATTACTAGCACTACTACTACTAGCTAGTGCTACTAGTACTACTACTACTACTAGTACTACTACTACTACTACTACTACTACTACTACTACTACTACTACTAGTACTACTACTTATTCTTCTACTACTACTACTACTACACTACTACTACTACTACTACTACTACTACTACTACTACTACTACTGCTACTACTACTACTACTAGTACCTATATTACTACTACTACTACTACTACTACTACTACTACTACTACTAGTAGTACTAGTACTCCTACTACTACTACTGCTACTACTGCTACTGCTACAAAAGTACCAAGACCAATACGATTGCTATTATAGAAGCAGGCCTATTCATATCGATCTATGTCAATATATCTATATCCATATCCATACCGATCTCTATATTTCTACTTTTATCTATATCTATAATCTGTATCTATGTATTTATGTATCTATGTATCTGTGTATCTATGTATCTATTTTCTGTGTATCTATATATCTATATAACTGTATATCTATATATCTTTATATAGATTTATATATATCTATATATATCTATATATATATATATATATATTTATATCTCTATATCCCTACATCTCTATGTATCTATATATATATATATATATATTTCTATATATCTATATATGTATATATATATATATTTATTTATTTATATCTATAAGCATTTATTTTATATAGGTGTTTCCGACCACGTGTGCGCCTTGCATGCCAATCATGATCGCAGATTGCTGCACCGCGTGAGTGCACATGCCCCGAGCCATGCTCTTGGCCAACTTGTTATGGCTGCGACCTTCGGATTGTCGAAAGCCAATGCATTCCCTAAATCCATAGGTTGACAGCATTGCAGCACCTGTTCCCCGTGCGTGTCTGACCTTATGAAGCACATGCATATTAGTGCATGTGACACTGTAGTGCCTGCATGTGTATGAGCTTACACGACGTTGCCGGTCAGATCGCAAACCCCTTCATGAGCCATGGAAGTAATAATGACCCGCGAGGGTTTCGGATTTGGGGTGTACGGACGTTATCCAGATTTGAAAAATTAGGGCCCCGGTTAATTGTTTAAACTACACCCCGGAAACGAAAGCCTGGTTAACCGGTTTACGTGTGCCTGATGTTTCAATATAGGCTGCATGCCCCCTAAACCCGATACACCCCTGAGCAAGACTAATTCTACTTCTCTACGTTCTCGAAGAGTATATAACTGCATGCATTGAGAATTATGCACTGATCCTCTCGATGTCTATTACTACCAAACCCTGTCAATGGGAAGTTCCATGCCTGAAGTAACCCTTCCAACAAAGGAGCTGCACAAGATCCCAAACCCACTAAATCCAGGAAGGTGTGAACCTATACAACCACTGCAGCCCCACGTTTAGGGCTTAAGGTTTCGGATTTAGGTTTTATACTGTTTAGGGTTTAGGGTTTGTAGTTTTTAGGGTTTAGGGTTTAGGAATGGCCTGGAAGCGTCCCCTCGCGATCCCATGAATGTGGGGAGAGAGCCTGTTAGGGTTTAGAGTTTCGGGTTTCTAAGGTTTAGGGTGTAGGGTTTAGGGTTTAGGGTTTAAGGGTTACAAGGGTTAAGGGTCAAGGGTTTAGGGTTTAGGGTTTCGGGTTTCGGGTTTAGGGGATAAGGGTTAGGGGTTTGGGGGGGTTTAGGGTTGGTTTAGAGTTTAAGCTCCATCGGAGCCTCAACCCACCGAACCCAGGAGCAGTCGCTAATCTCTAGCATCAAAAGAACTACATAGCCCGGAAGTCGACAGCCTGCAAGTACATGAATTAACCCCCTTACATATCCCAGAACACTGAACCCTCCCAAACCCACCCAGACAGATCCCAGACTCCTTGGCTTCTCTGACCCCCTTGATATTCTGCAGTTCTTCCCTTAGATATGTCGTCATTTCCTCGCATAATACGCACCGATCCACACACATCATCTGAACTCGATCGTTATAATTGCTGTCAGAAGGCGCGCATTCTTTCATAGTCTTTTCGATCACGGCCTGCAGATGCATGCCACGTGTGCAACAATCACTGCACACGCAACCAAACATGCATGTACGTGCTCGAGTACATGTGAACAGCCACCTTCTTCCGAAGAAACAATTCAGCGACTGCCCGGCCAAACAAGGGGGGATAGTGTTGCGAGTGCTTTAAATCTCGGCCGCCGTACACCTTGCACGATCCGTCCTCGCCATATGTCCTGCACGCAGCGTACATGTGCAGCTGCGTTGATCAAATGTAGACTGCATATAGGTCCTTGTAGCCATTTCGGAATCCCACTGAACTCCTTGAGGTAGAGGCAGAAATAGCTGGCGCACGAAGGAATAGTTGCTGTAGATGAGTGTTGGTTTGGGACCTCGATCGATCGATCGGAGACTCGACATATATATAATGGCAAACACGCGTACACTCCTTGCGTGCTGACAAACTCAGCTTCGTACTTCCGCCTCCGTAAGAGCCAAGCCACACGAAGGCCTGAAACGATTGCATGCCACATTGCATATATACTCATGCAATGGCACACGCAGACACATGGAGTATAAATAGTGTTCGGGGCCTTAAAGACGGTGAATCGAGAGCAGAGCTTCTGGAAGGGCTTCGAGAATTCCAAGAGGCTGGACTGCGGTTGTTCTAAGCACCACGGCACCCCCAATTCGCTGAGCACCCACAGGATGAGGCATACACGAAACACCATCACATTCCTTGGGTAACATCAAATCGAGTGACCGACCAAATATATGCATGCGTGCGCGTGCACTGAACCCTATAATTTAACCCCTAAACCCTAAACCCTAAAGTTAAAGCCTAAAGCCTAAAGCCTAAACCCTAAACCCTAAACCCTATAAACCATAAACTTAAACCCTAAACCCTGAACCCCAAACCCGAAACCCTACACCCCATAAATCCTAAACCCTATACTGCAGACCGTCCGTTTTCCATCATGCGTGTCCGCATGTGCATGATCCCCTAGATCGCGCGTAGTGCACACGATCGCTCCCAAGACAAGCGAAATTAACTTCAAAGAGCCACAGGTCGATCGGTGCTCGAGATCGGCAGCAATCTTGAACACTAGATGCATGCATGCACCATGATGTACATTTCGACCTGAACACCTAATGGCCTGTGGGATCTATGTCCATCGAAACGAACTCGTCCGGACTCACTCACTGTCCTCGTCCATCCCAATCGCCTGCTTTGCAGCACCCCAGGCAGCGAATGGATCAGCTGCAAAAGAGATCCTTAAATCACATGTCCAAACAGGTTTCCATGCTCGTACGCACATCGAATAATACTCAATCGATGCAATCGTGCTGCGATCTGCAGGAGATATTCTCGCCAGCCATGTTGGTCTTCGGTTTCAGTGCTTTCTGTCGCAGGAGCACCTCCACTTTGGCTTTGCGGATCGGCCTCAGCATACATGGTGTGCACACACTCTGCGTATACACACATATACATGCAACAAATGCGCTTGCGGAGCGAACACATGTTGCAAATTGCTGCATCTATGGCACTGCGTATAGGAGTGGAGGCCATGCCTCGTTGAGCGAGGGAAGAGCGGGAGTGGGAGTCGTTCGATGAGCTCGCGGTACGGTTCCATGAAGGACTCGAGGATAGCGTCGTCGCTCGGGGGCACCGCACTGCCGGTCGACTTCTCGGATTTTGGGGTTTTGGGGGACTTTGCTGTGGGTGTCTGCGCCCCCTTTGCTGGCACCGGCGTCTTGGCCGCTGAACTTGAGCTGACCCTGGGCTTCTTGGCTTTCGGCTCCTTGAGAGGCTTCACCACTTCTGCTGGCGGTACTCCTGACATCGATCACCCAGCAAGCATGTCGACACCATGGATCGTGCAAATCTGCAAACTGGAAGCACGACTGGCGAGGGCGGCGGCCTCTCTTTGCAGCGTTCCTCAAATCCTTCGGGCGCCTAGCATACTCAATGCACATTGATAGAACCCATGTCTTTCATACATGCAACTCCAAGTAAGAAGCCTTGGGCTGGAGGCAGATGCATCGGGCGATGTGCTTGGCTAGGGCCTCCTCCTGCAGTTCCAGCAAGCACACAATAGAACATGTGCTCATGCATGCACGTACACATGCATGCATGTTCATGCAAGAGATGGCCGGGACCACCCAGTGTCCTTCTCTTCCTTCTTCGTCTCATCGAGCTCCTGCAATATTACATGGAATCTTCAAATTGCTCGATGTGATTTTGGTGGGAACATGATATCCTCGTCACTCGGATAAGCAGCTCGCAGCAACTCATCCATCACATCAGTTTAAGAGACATGCATGCATGTCTCACAATAGCACATGCATGTCGTACGATCTCTGCCACACCGCACGCAGGCCTGCTCAGTGTCTGTAGGCTCCCTCTTACCAAGCTCGGCGTCATTGCCGTCCTCGCTCACACACGCATCCTCCTCCATGGCTTCCTCTTCGGGAAGCTCCAAGTCCGGGTCATCCATGCGCACAAGCGGGCTGCCTGCATTCGCGTGCCTGACACATGTCTCGGGGTCGATCTTGTCTTCCTCGCAAGACTCACCGAGGGCCAACGTACGACCACCGTCGCTGCTCGAGTCGTCGATAACGTTCAAGTCCGGCCAGAAACCCCCGCTGCAGTCAGACTCAGATGACTCGGCATCGTCAGGATCATTCTGCAAGTGGCCCAGCTCCTCGCGAATCTTCTCCTGCAAAACAAAAGCATGATCAATCTCAATTAATGTCACGCACACAACAAACACCATCTGCACCATGCAGTCTGAAGCCTCGGTCTCAGGCTTGATCCTCCGAGAATTCTGTCTCATCATGTTCTTGAGTGTCTGCAACTCAGAACTCTTTGAGGAGTACGGGGAATTCTGCCAAAGCCTCATCAATCGATCGATCGATGGGCACGCAGGCATGCGTGACAGCTATATGCATGCATATGCTGCGCACGCAGCAGAGGAACCGCCGAAGGCATGACCAGATCTTCTGAATTTTGATCGACGCTAAGTCCACGTCCTGCTTGTGGAATACGTCCCGGACCCCGGCCTTGTCCAGAAAGCTGTCCAGGATCACCGATGCCTCCTGGCGGCTTGGTGATCGAACCTGGAAGTGCGGGTACCTCAGGAGAACGTTGAGAATCCAGAAATTCTGTGTCCTCAGATCGATCGATTCAGGTCACATGATCGCTGCATGACAAACGTTCAAAAAGCAGACCATGCAACTGCATGCAGCTTAAGCTCACATCTTCTTCCCGTAGATTCTCGCTGAAGTCGCCCTGGATCCACGCAGACGGTGTTGTGTCATCGTTGAACAGCAGTTCCTGCAGGCCACAAAAGACTGCATGCACTCTAAGGGTCTAGGGTGAAAGGGTTTAAAAGTTTAGGGTTTAGGGTTTAGGGTTTATAGGGTTTAGGGGTTATAAGGGTTTAGGGTTATAGGGTTAAAAAGGGTTTAGGGGGTATAAGGGAACCCGCATGCATGCATGCATGCTCGTCCTCGCAGATGTGCTGTGGGATAGCAACCCAGAGCATCATACCCAGCCCTTGAAGCTCGATGACGATTTGCATTTCCGCATCGCTTCCACACGCTGCATCGTCCGCCATTGCGGATTGCAGACGAGGATAAGCAGTCTAAACCAAAAAGTGCTGTTAAGTGCCACGGTATCAAAGACAGTAAGCGTCGAGGCGCATGTGTGCCGGCCATGCAATGCACATGCATGCACTTGCGTTCGAGTGGCCCCTGGCGTACCACCAAGACTTGCTCGTTCCCCTCGGGGCAGGTCACAGACCTTGCGGTCACCGACCTAAGCAGCAGAACTATACATGCAAGCAACTTGTTCGTTCGGGTGCGGCCTGCCTCGATATCCATATCCAGCTTGAACACACGGGGGCAAACCACGCAAGCCCGGCCTTGCATGGTTGGCTCAGATCATGCTCGAGCTATACACATGCAAGCCTGCAAAGACAGAATAATTGCATATGGCTGGAATTGATGCCAGATCGAGAGTCTGTGTAGTACAGCCGAAGTGAGAGGGCAAGTGCATATGCAAAGCCAAGGCCAGTAAGGAAATTCTGTTCTGGGCCGTCGTTCAGCTCGAACGTCGCTGCAAAGAATCCATGAGACCTCGCATGCAGCCAGGAGATTCATGTGTACTGAAAATTCTTGCATTTACAATTCCACTGCGGGCAATTAATCTCCCATGCATATACATGTGCAGCCAAGTTGCCGAAATCCATTTGCCACCGTCTTGTGCCCAGCAAACACTTCCAGACAGGATATGTCCTGTATAGAGCTATAGCATGCAGACACGGCTCTACAGGACAACCAGATCGCCAAAAAATGCTGCCCATGCTGCCCAGCTTCCAGCGAAGGTTTGGTCATGTTCTGCATGACCGATATCACCAGGCAGAGCAACACGTGGGGTAGGCCAGCCTTCTCGAGCAAAGAAAACCTAAGTTGGATTGCAAATTCCAATCATCTATCACGTAGTGAATGCAAGTGCGTGGCAGGGAACACAAAGCGCCAGCGTTTGCTCACATGCTTTGCAGCAGCGCCGGCTATACCCTTATTAGCTGGCGACTCCAGCTGCGGCTGGTGCTTGATATTCCCTTCCCGTTTCTTCACAGATCTCGGGGTGGTCTGCGGGCTCTTGCTCGGCCGACTCTTGCCCATGGCTGGCCTGGAACCCTGAAAACAAAAAGGCTGGGGCATGTTGAGTTGCAGCCATATAAATGCAGGCACAGTTGTTTCTCGATCTCTGTGCATGCCAATCTTTCTCGCAGGAAACTGAATCGAGAAGCACACATGCATTAAGATGCACGGGGGGCTGCACCTGCTGGACTGCTCCAAAAGCAGCAAGCTTGCCATTCGCTGCCATCATGGCTTCAAGGAATTTCCTCGAAGGCCCTATATCGGTCACGATGCCTGATAAGAAATCATATACTGCTGAAACCTCATGTGTGCACATGCTCGGCCACATGCACTTCAAAGTCGAACCAAAGGTTTGCCCGGCAAAAACTGCTCAATACTCAGCTGCGATCTGCACGCATCGATCTGACATGGCAGGCCTGACTGGTGACTGCTATACCTAGAAAAATCTTATATCCATACAAAAAATCTATCTGCACACACGCACACACACACACACACACACACACACACACACACACACACACACACACACACACACACACACACACACACACACACACACACACACACACACGCACACGCACACGCACACGCACACGCATATACATTTTCATGCTCGCCCGCCCCCCCCCCCCCCCCCCCCCGCCCCTCCCCCATCCCTCCCCCCGTCCCCCATCCCCCCCTCCCCATGCCCTCCCAAGCATCCTACTGGCAGCAGACCCAAACACATGTGCACACTTCCGAACAACACAGGCCACTCAGTCCCCCAACAACTGCAAGCACCGAAAGTCACCCGATCTCATATCCCATGCAGCAGCACAGACTGCTCATCTCTTTGGTGTAGTCGCATGAACATCGGTCATCAAGGACATATGATATGCCAATTTGTGTGGCCGCACGTGTGGCTGTTGCGCGAGCGCGCGAAGTGGTAATATTCCCGCGAGCGTGCGATCACGGTTGCGCGAGAGCACGAAGGATAGCCATGCGTGCGAAGGTTGCTTTTTTAAACGTTCGGGCTGTGTAGGTCAGGCAGATCCTGTCTGAAGAGGCAGAGATGACAGATGAGCAGTGGCTCGACTTCCTGCGCAAGGATCAAGCATTGGGACCAGAGCATTACAAGAAGATGGCGGACGACTTCCATGTCAGATTACAGCCCATTCAGGCTGCCGTCGAGAACGCGCATATGCGGGCAGCACTCAAGAAAGATATCGCACGCAAGCGCAAACGAGCAGCTGTGGATGTCATCCTCGTGACCGGAGACAGGGTCATCGCAAAAAATTCCCAGTACACCAGTATGTCTGGCGGGGGTAAATTCCTTTGTCGGGCCGGACGGGTTCGTGACTTCGTGGTGCTCGAGAACAGCGCCGGCATTGTGAAGCTCCAAGCAAACGATACAGGAGAAGTGCTCTTGAGACATGAGGGAGACTTGAAACTTTTGCCCAAAGCTCAGCCTCCAGAACCTGCAAGCACTCCTCTCGAGAGACCGCAGAAGCGCATCCGAAGCAAGGGCCCCTCCGGTGCCTGACCTGCACGCAAAAGTGAAGACCAGTGTCCGCATGCCTTCACAATCCCCACAAGCCTCAAGTCAAACCCAGTCTCCTCATCCCTTAAGCATCCTTGTCCTTGAGGCCTTTCCTCATCCCTTGAGCCTAAACCGCAGCTCAGCATAGTCCCAAAGAACCCAGAACCCAAAAAGCAATATCTGCATCCCTTAGGCAAGCCTCAACGAAAGGAACCCAAAAGGCCAGTATCCTCACGCCCTTAGAGTCCGTATCCCTCCAAACCACAACACGCAAAGCAAAGGGTTTAAGGGTCTTGGGGGGGGGGGGGGGGGGGGATACCATGGGGGGGGGGGGGGGCGCAGGACGCCCGACGCCGAACCATATATACATATATATATATATATATTCAATACTCTCCCAAGTTCCCCCACCATCGCCCACTTGAAGGCAAGTTTGGCCTGTTTGGTGCTTGGCGCTGACTTGACTGGCTGTTCCGCTCTAGTCGAGCGCGAGACGAACAATGCCATGACAAATGACACACCTGGAAACCCACGACAAGAGCCATAACTTCGACTCTTAGAATGCTAAAATCTGCCGGCATGTGTTTGAGGTAGTCAAGGTCAACTCGACCCAAGACTAACCTAGGAAACAAAAGGGTGCCCCTGTTTGGTAAGAGAACAAGGGCCTACTCTGTGTCCTAGCCCACAACCCTAAACCCTAAACCCCAAAAAATAGGGAATGTGGGCCTACTCTGGCGGAATAAGGCCACTACTGGGCATCCCAGAAACCCTCAAACCTTAAAACTTGAGAGGTCCCCCCATGACACTTACTAACCGTCCTTAATAGGGACTCTAACGGGGGGTACTCGAATCCCTATGAAGGACTGTTAGTATGGGGGGGGGAACCCAACTTTAAAAACCCTCATGAGCCCTAAACCCTAAACCCTAAACCCTAAACCCTAAACCCTAAACCCTAAACCCAAAACCCTAAACCCTCATGAGGCGGCCTTCCAGGAGTCGAAGAAGGTCTCGCCATAGGCCGCCGCCGTGGTGTCAGGGCCAAAGGTGCGCACCGTCTCGACCTTCGATCTTCGGGTGCTTAGGGTTTAGGGTTTAGGGTTTAGGGTTTAGGGTTTAGGGTTTAGGATTTAAGGTTTAGGATTTCGGGTTTAGGGTTTTTGGGCTTGTTGTTGCGTTGCTGAGGGATTTAGGGCTTAGGGTTTAGGGTTAGAAGGATTTGGGGCTTGGGGTTGAGGGGTTTCAGGGTCTGAAGGTTTTATTTCAAGTTGAATGGGCCCAGCGGGATTTCGGGTTGAGGGGTTTAGGGGTTTCGGAGTTTAGGTGATTGGGGGTTTTGGGGTTGGGGGATTTAAGGAGCAGGGGGCTCCGCAAGGACCCTTTTGCTCGAAACCCTTAACCCCCAACCAATTCGAACCTAGTTTGGGAAGTTCCCAGTCCTTAACAGGACTATAGTACCCCCCTAGTATAATCCCTATTCAGGACTGTTCGCAGAAGGAGAAAAACCTAATGCTTGATGAGTACTTGTGGTTGCAGACTCCCCCGATCCCCCCCGTCCCTCTCAGGACTAAGCTGGACTGAGCTGGGGCCCAGGCACCCCAGGCCGTGAGCCACTCTGCCTGTCAAGGGTCTACAGTTGGGATGTTCCCCACTTATCCTAACAGTCCTTCCTTGGGATTATAGCATCGGGGGTACTATAATCCCATTAAGGACTGTTATAAGGGGGAACATCCCAAGTCACAGGGTGTAGACGCGCTGGCCGCCAAAAAACAACTCCTAAACCCTAAACCCTAAACCCTAAACCCTAAACCCCAAACCCTAAACCCTACACCCTAAACCCTAAACCCTAACCCTAAACCCTAATCCAGGGCCTGGCTTGGGAGCCGGCGAAAGGTGGCGAGGGCGGCCGCCAGCGGGTCGGGTGCAAAGTCCTGGCAGGAGGGGTTTAGGGGGGTTGGGTCAGGGTTTGGGGTTTAGGGTTTAGGGTTTTGGGTTTAGGGTTTAGGGTTTAGGGTTTAGGGTTTAAGGTTTGGGGTTTGGGGTTTACGGATTTGGGGTTGAAGGATCCCTGGGACCCTTTGAACGCTGCAAATGGGGGGGTGGATGACCTCCATAGGGCGGGGGTGGGAGCGGCTTCCGGGTCTTAGAATCTCAAGTGGGAACCCGAACCCATCATCAGCAGCCCAGACGTACCCGGACCCATTCTAGATAGCCAGGGGGTCACTGGCCCGCTGTGGCAGAAGCTGCAAGCCTTTAAGGTAAGATTCAGAAGGTTTAGGCTTAGGCGAGGTGTGTGGCTCACGTGCTGGGGCCCAAGTACCAGTCGGACCCCTTCAGCCCGGAACTGAAGCACGCTAAACCCTAAACCCTAAACCCTAAACCCTAAACCCCTCAGACGCAAGAAAGAAGAGACACAACGGCCCTGTTAGGATGATGCCAAAATCCTCGGCGACACCGCCTCCCCCCCCAAGCCAGCCACACCAAACAGACACAACTTACATACATTCCATACATACCTACCCACCCACCTACCTACCTACCTACATACATACATTACATACATAAGATAATGAAACCCATATACACACCATGACAGTTCTTAAACAATATGGGCATTTCCCAAAATCGGGGTACCCCCGTTTATACCCAAAACAGAATAGAATCCCCTTAAAGGTACCCCCAAAAGGGGATACCCCCTATTTTCGGAAACCCCCTCATAAATATAGTAGCCCTAAACCCTAAACCCTAAACCCTAAACCCTAAACCCCAAACATATGTATCCAAGGGTCTTGGTCTCACGGCTGCCCCGGGCCTGGAAGTCCTCCGCCTCCTTCGCCAGCTGCGGGTTGAAGAAGTCCCTAAGCATGCAGGAAGACCCTAAGCCCGACTGGGTCTAGGGTCTTTAGGGTCTAGGGTTTGGGGTTTAGAGTGTTGGAGAAGCTTTGTGATTCGCGTCGTATGTAGGCTCAAGCACTGTAGAACTATAGAGGTCTTGTATCAGCCCTCATGTGAACCCTAAGACCTAAACCCTGAACCCTCAACCCTAAACCCGAAACCCGAAACCCTAAACCCTGAACCCTCAACCCTAAACCCTGCTCAACCCTAGAAACCGATAAGGCTCGCTTCGAAGACCATGGCCAGCCGACGTGGCGACCAGCCGAGCCTTTGCCCACAGAACCCAGGGCAACAACAAGGGGTCATTTTGGGGGTTTAGGTTGTTTTTTAACCGAAATTCGGGTTTAGGGTTTAGGGTTTAGGGTTTAGGGTTTAGGGTTTAGGGTTTAGGGTTTAGGGTTTAGGGTTTAGGGTTTCGGGTTTAGGGTTTAGGGTTTAGGGTTTAGGGTTTAGGGTTCTTAAACAAGGCACTTGGGCCCGCCGTGGCGGCTTCGGATCTACATGGAAACCCAGCTCCTACGGCAATGGGGACTTCAGGATCCCCATATACCCGAAAGAGTCCCGAGAATGACCCCTAAGGTCCCTAACCCTAAACCCTAAACCCTAAACCCTAAACCCTAAACCCTAAAAAAGGGGGGGGGGGGGTTGAGGACTTAGGCTTCCGGATTCATGGGCTTCGGGGTAGCTGCTGTCGGGTTCATGGCCTGCAAGGTCCTGAAGAGTTCTGCTTATGGGGTAATTTGGGCACTTCTCTAAGTTATGGTCCCTTTTGGGGGGTCACTATTATAAGGTAGGGTACCCCGAAAAAGGGACCATCATTTTGAAGGCCAGGGTGGCTTTCTGGAGTTTGGGGGAGGGCTTCATTGGTTTGAGGGCTTCAGAGCATTTGAGGAAGTCACGGCTCACCCCCCAACCCTCATGACCCCTAACCCTGCACCCTAAACCCTAAACCCTAAACCCTAAACCCTAAACCCTAAACCCTAAACCCTAAACCCTAAACCGCCAAGACGCTGTTGCACTACCTCCAAGGCTTTGTCAAGGGTCGCGTTGGCTGCGGGATCACCTGCCGGCAGGGAAGTCCATCCACCTTTTCAAGCACTAAGTCCTGGTCCTGCTCTGACTCCTCTCGGATTCGTGTAGAGGTATTTTTGTGTTTCGGAGTTAGGGTAGAGAATTCGGAGTTTAGGGTTTGAGGATGGGAGGGGAGGCAGTCAGGGAAGGCCTTGCCCAGTTTGGGTAATTGCACCACCGTGGCCCAGATCATAGCCATAATATCCTAAAACACTTTACCATATAGAAAATAAGGTGCAATTATCCAAAATGGACAAGGTAATGGGTCGCCCAGTTTGTGATATTACATCACCGTGAACATATAATTCACAACTGGTAGCCCATTATCCTTAAAATACTCTATCTCATCCTATTTTTCAGGTGATGTAACATCCGAAACTGGGCAAGGTTAGGTTTATTCATTTTATGGGGCATAGTATGGGTAGGGGGTTTCAATAATCATTTAATTTTATTATTAAATTATCATTGGTCAGTTTTTCATTGCCGTGGGGCACCAGCGGCATCCCGTGGGCGACGCCAAGAACTACGGACACGCTGAAGAACCGAAGACCAAGTTTGTCTGTTTTGCGACACCTCCAACAGCTTAGATTTGATTTCACGTTCCCCCACACCTGCTCTCGCCCCGAAGTAATGGTCGTGAGTAATGGTCATAGCTAACTCCAAGATTTTGGCGTTCCATTTATGTCTTCTTGCACCAGCTCTATACGGGCCTCCTAATGCTTGTGGCTGAAGAAAACGATCGAAAGAGAGAACCCTGGCTGGATGGGTCAAAGGTCTTCTCAAAACGTGACCTAGCAAAGACAGCTGTTGTAGTTTGACCTCGTCCGAAAGATAGTGCACTCCCATTTGACTACGTACTTGTTCGTTGGGGATCCGTTCACATCCGATGACCATAGCACCCCAAGTGGTGGGAATGCCTGCAATTGAACGCAAACATTTAATATGAAAAGCGTCCAACATCTTGTTATGCTTATCAGTGAGCCACATGGTAGACATGCTGTAGGTCAACTTGCTGACGACACAAGCATAGTAAATGCGCAGTTTTCTTTCACGCGAAATGCCTGTGTGTTTCCAAACCCGCATAAGCTTCTTGAAGACCTGCCTGCATTCCCCAATTCGTTTAGAGATTTCGTTTCCCGGCCTACCTTGCGAGTCAATGACAGCACCCAAGTAAACCACAGAGGTGGCCTTAGGGACCTTACTGCCATCCATAAAGTTGATCTCCGCCTGACTGTTGTAGGACACAAGCTTACATTTGCCATGATTGAGATGCAAGTTGTATTTTGCAGCTTCCGTTTGCACAATCTGCAACAAAGTTTGCAAATGCTCATAATTCCTAGATATCAAGACAGTATCATCAGCAAACTCAATATCAAACATGGAGACTGTAGGGGTAACAGCGAGCGGGTGCTGCGCAAGGAAGGTCCTTTGAATGTCATGAAACATAACAGTCTGCATTGCGATAAACAGCAAAGGTGAAAGGGTACATCCTTGTCGTATTCCGCTGGACTGAGATTTAAGCCCGGAAACCTCACCATCCACAACAACACGAAAAACCGGAGACGCCGTGAGGTCCAGGATTGCTTTGCACATGGTTGGTGGCACCTTCAACCGACGCAGCGCCAGGTGTAACGCAGCGGGTTTGATCGTATCAAAAGCCTTGCTCCAGTCCAAAAACAACAAGTGCAGAACTTGATTGCGCTTGGCATCAACAAGGTCTTGCAGGCGCCGAACAAGAAAAATAGCGTCGCTCGTACTCCTACCTTGCCTAAAACCGAACTGATTGTCACGGAGCACAGGGTCCAGACCTGCATACAACCTCGCAGCCAGCACCCTGGCGTACAATTTGTAGCAAGTCTGCAATAAAGAAATTGGCCTAAAATTTGACGGGTCGCTCTCGCAACCTTTCTTGAATATGCCTATAACCTGGGACTGCTTCCAAGACGATGGACTCTTGCCGTGACTCCAACAATCTTGAAACAAGTCCAAAAGAGCCTCTAAGCCTTTGCCGGAAAGGTTCTTCCAGAACTCATTAGGAATATTATCTTGTCCCGCACTCTTGCCGGATTTGAGATGCTTAATAGCCTGAATGAGTTCGGCCATGGTCAAAGGGCCCTCTTCGATGTCCGGGGCAGCGTGTGGCAAAAGATCCGTGCAGAGATCGTCAACCCCACTCGACTTTGCAGGAGCCCACTGCACCTGCTCTAGGTGAGCGGCATAGATATCCGCATTTGTGGCTGTTGCTGACATCCCTAAACTTGGTGAAGGCTCAAGTCGAACCATCTTTGTAGGGAACGATTTCTTGAGCTGCTTAATCGGCTCCCACGAATTTGATTGTAGTTGCTCTTCGAGCCAGTTTTTCTTATCCCGTTTTGCAGAACGCTTAATGTCTTTGTTGTACTTTGCCACCTGCTGGAGGTCGCCTTGGCTGCGCAGGACACCTCTACGCGTAATCAAATCCAAGGTGCTCTGGCTAATCCAGGGTTTCCTAGGTGCGAACTGGTATTTAGGTATGTGTTCGTCCATGGCCTGAACAAACACTTCCCGGAGAAAGTCCCATTTTTGGGACACGTCCTCATGACCTGCTACTTCGTTCAATCGGGCTTCCAGGGCTTCGTTCATCTCGCGGATGTTCCTGGGCGAGGCACTATGGAAATCCCAGCGAGGGCGCGGCGCCTGTTGGCGCCTAGCCCCCAGTTTGAGTCTCACCTTTGCAAGCAACGGGAAATGATCACTGTCAACATTCGCCCAAGGATCGGAAGAAACGTCCCTCACAAAGTTTCTCCATCTCCGGGGGGTAAGACACAGATCAAGTTGAGCAAACAAGTTGGGGTCCCAAGAAGCAGAGGCATGGGGAAGGGCAGCGGTTCCTACTTCCCTGTACGTGACCTGCTTGGCGGAGTTGTGCTTGAACCACGTGTTGGAAACCAGGAGCTGGTTTTGGACGCAGCAATTGATGAGAAAGCTCCTGTTATCCAGTTCGCCTCCCACCGAACCAACACCTTTCCCGTACAAATGGGGCCCCAAGACAAGATCCTCATCGTGCATTCTACCATGGATGCGTGCATTGAAGTCTCCCATAATGAGATAAGGGCCTCGGTTTTCCACCTTTTCTATGAGCTGGTTGAGTTCGTCGTAAAAAGCCTGCTTGGTTTCTTCGGTGTGCTGGTTATGCGGCGCATGACCTGTGATGACTGAAAATTCCCCAGCTCCCGTGTGTAAACTAATTCCTGCCACCTTACTGCTGCTAGGGAGTGTGCGTAAGAGCGCTCGTTTTGCCGCAGGCGACAACGCAAAACCTGTACCATAGTGCTCCTGCTTGTCGGGGCTCGCATTGCTGAATGTGTAGAAGGTAAACGAATCGATCATGTAGTAAGAAGTACGCTTGGCTTTGGTTTCTTGTAGACAAAGGACGTCAATGCACTTGGACTTCATGTACTGGACAATCTGATGATGCATTGAAGGTTTCAAAAGGGAACAGGCGTTGAGGGTAGCAATGTTAAGTGAAGTACCATGAAAAAGCTTGGATAAATGAGGTGAACGCTTTCTGTTCTCAGTATGGTCTTCGTAAGCAAACAAACCCGCGTTCCGGGTGTCTTTCAAGGGCTGAGAGGCAGTTGCTTTCGAGCAGGTGAGGCCACCGTTGCCCGGACGGCGCCTGTCTAGGCCTTCTTCAAAGTAGCCAACATTTGATTTACACCATCTATACCACCGGCGGTGTTGCGACCGCTTGGTGGCCAAGTTTGCTTTTCTCTGTGTGGTTGCAAGTGTAGACCTCCTACCTCTCTTTTTTGCTGACCGAGTGTGTCTCTGTAGCCGCTGAAGCTTTGAATTTGTGTGATTATTGCATACAACATGGTCGTCAAAAATGGTCGTGAAACGCTTCTTCTTTAAAGATTTGCTTCGCGGTGTGCCCGGCTTGCCTGCTGGGCGGCGCATTGGCAGGTGTGAGTAAGTAATGGTCGTGCAAGAAGTGGTCGTATGTGAAGAATTTGCGCGAGGTGAGTGTTTATTACGGTCTGCGGTTGTACTGCGCAGAGTACGCGTGCCGCTATGTACAATTCAAGACGAGCGCTTTCCCCTGCCTTTGGCGGGGTAGCGGGAACCGGACTCCTCTTCAGCCGTCGTCATGTCAACGTCGTCCGAGGCTTTGGAGCTGCGGGAGCGCGTGCTCATAGTTGCGTAGCGGTCGTTCAGCTCCTGCAAATTTTCCTCGGTGAAGGCGGCAATGGTGATGCGAAGGTATTTTTGTGGACTGCCTTCCGTCTGGTTGCCCCGATTTTGCCATGTCGGCCAATCCTCCGCAAACTGATTCTCAAACTCCTCTTTCTTGTCATCGGGGACGAAGATTGTCACTTTGGTTGCATCGCTTGCGTCCGTAGCAACTGCTAGTACCCATTCGGTTTCATGCCATAGAGCCTGCAGTTCCCAGGTTGGTCGGAATTTGGGGTTGCCGCCATAGATGGTCGCCAGTGCCTTCATGGCGCACTTCATGGGAGCATCTTGTTCACGGCGGTAGCGGGGTATCTGCGGTCTTCCTACGATGGTGCTGCCCTTGAGCTTATGCGGGTCGTTCTTGACTTGGTGCAGGAAGGTGTTACGCGCGTCTTTGTCCCACATGTGCACAATGGTGAAGTGGCCAAGTCCTTGCTTGTTCTTCAGCGTGGTGGTGCCCTGCAACTTGTCCACTACCCCATAGTACTGTGCCATGCTACGGATTTCTCTGTCACGGTCTTGTTCGCTCATGCCGGTCGGCCATCCCATGAGGAGCAGCTGTTTTGACGCCTCAAGTTCTTGGTCTCTATGCAGAAGTGACGCTGTTTTCGCGGATTTCCACTCGACAGTGTTCAATCTGGCATCCTGCTTCAAAACTGTGGCCTTCAGCGTGTCATAGTCTGCCTTCGTGAGTGCCACTGTTGTTGTTGCAGCTATAGTGGCATCGTCCTCCTCAGGTTCCTGCTTCTGATTCTGTGCTTGTAGTGCATGTGCTGGTGAGCGCGATCTTTCCCCCATCCCTACGTGGCGCGAGTGTGAGGGCTGGGGGTCCTGCCTTTCTAGTCTCGGTCCGAAAGCCTATCATTGGTCAGTAGTGATAACAAATAATATTAATATGTTAAAATCATTTGCTTATGGGTCGTGGTCAAATAAGTCAAAATTAGGTAAGTTGAAATACACATCCATGATTTTATTAAAAAAAAAAATCGTCCCTTGCTTTCCATTTTGACCAATAACTCGGAATTCTGTTTTCTATGTAATCTGTTGATTTATGATACATCACATTCTCAAACAAATGTTTCAACATGCTGTACTTTTTTTGACTGATATTTTTGATTATGTTCTTAACAGATTCGTAACTAGGAAACCTGCGCTTCAAACTAAAAATCAACTTATCAACTTGATATTGGTGAAACCCTTCAAACACAACAAGCCTTTCTAATTTTTTTTCAACTTCTATTCTATTTTCGCATCTGATGCACCGGTGAGCGTAACCGTAAATTTTACTTGCTACAATTTCTGGTATTGGTAACTCATTTAGCACACAATATTTATCATGCTTTTTATAATCGTTGCACTTACAACTATTTCTTTTTAATTTGCTATTTGCTATGTAATCTTTCGCTTTAATGACATCTAAGAATTGATTGATGATGTTTTCTTGTTCTTGTTCACTGAACATTTTTATTATAATATATTAAGTCGTTATTTCTTTAAGTGCTTTTTCTTAAGAACTTAATCTAAATATTTTCAATAATAATTTAATTTTATTATTAAATTATTATTGGTTTAACATTTATTGTTTTAAGTATTCGCCGTAATCTTCTTCCATTTTTTGAATACTTATATTAATCCATTTAACAGCATGTTTTGGTTTTGCATCTAAATATTTGGTGTCCTTGCTTCCTCCGTTCTGACATAGTATTTCAATATGCTCAATCAGTTCAGAGTATTTTTTAATTAACTGTCTATCTTCTTGGACTTTTCCTTCTAAAAAGGAAATATCATTCTTAACATTACAAACATCTTCGTCATCAAAGATACCTTCGTATTTCTTCAATAACTTTATTAACTCATTAATTTTATCCAGATAATCAGTTTCATTAATCTTTATTTGGTATATTTTTTTGATGTACTTCAATTGGGTCTTATAAGTTTTCAGATTTGTATAATCCATTTCCACTATAATATATTAAGTCGTTATTTCTTTAAGTGCTTTTTCTTAAGAACTCGGTCTTAATACTTTCAATATTAATTTAATTTATTATTAAATTATTATTGGTCAATAATAATGAACATCAACCATTCCGTTAATTCATAGAAGACATGTCTTTTATTCAAATACGTTATTATCATGGAAAATATTCTTAAATAATGATATAAGAAATCTTTAAGTTCTATATCATCATGGTCATATCTATATTTATTAGTATACGTATCAATTAATAGTTTTCTCAATTCTTTCACCTTGTCCTCATTAAAGTAATGGTCATACACGTCTTCAAATTTATTGTGTACTTGTTTATCATATAATTCAGTGTACTTAGCATAAAAGTCATGTTCATACTCTTCCGGTTCATCTTCATAAGCATTAGAGAAAATATCTTTCATGCAACAGTTAGTATCATATCCTCTCAATACATTTAAAAATATATCTCTATGTTTAGGATAATCATTGTTTCCGACTAAACCGTATATATGAATAGCTACATCATATTCTAAATATTTCATTCTATCAACACAATCAGAACATCCGATATATGAAAAAATATTCTCATTTACACCCTCTGAAAAAAGATTAAAATTATTTTTCAACTGATAATGTATCAGTTTACAATTCTTGCAATTTTTTATGTCATCTTTTATTAGTTTTCTTCCATACTCAACTTCTTTATCAATATTATAATCTACTGTTACAACACTTTCATTGTCACTCATTTCCACTATAATATATTAAGTCGTTATTTCTTTAAGTGTTTTTCTTAAGAACCATTCCATAAGAAAAACCCCCGTGATCATTCCTTCCCTTTAAGCCTAGATTTTTATTATGATCTAAACAAGCCCTACATGTTTTATTATATACCTTCGCATAATGCTTACTTACAAACTCATCTACACATTTTACTTGCTTACATGCTTTACATTGCATATACTGTGTTTTACAATCACTACCTGTAGGAAACTCAACAGAAATATTATCATCTAATTCACTCATTATTATTAGATGATAATATTATGCATAGGTTTTCGTTTCCTCGTTATACTTTATCTTGTAATAGTCAAGGGTTGTTTGTTTCGGTTGCAAAATTTCCTTGTTATTCAGTTTAGTCAAATATGTATTCTTCTTGTTTTCATACGTTGCATCAACTGGCGTTCTGTTAAAGTTTCTGGCGGGCCTTTCATTTAATAATTTCTCAATCCTCTCTAGTCTCAGTATGACGTCTTGCTTGAACTCCAGCTTATCACCCATATACTAATATAGAGATTAAACTTTTATAGTAAAACTTTTATAATAAAAGTTTTATTATAAAACTAATTCTCGGCGCTATCTTATGTAGCACCAATTATGTAAGCGTGTCCACTACTCCCCTTTCGCGTTCCGCTCACACAAAAGACAACACATAGGGTTTAACTGCCATTGTCGGGGTTTTCTTCTTCCTTCTTCCAATTTGGTCTGGGGGCACTGTACACTGTCATTATACATTATATTTAAACTCTTAATTATCTTAATCCATAATATTTAATGTATTATTCTTTAATTTTTCTACATCTTCTTTAATTTCCCTAACTTCTGTTCTTAATTCATCAACTTGTTCTTCTACTTCTTCTGGTGTTATTCTATTTTGTTGATTGTTCCAACCGGTATCACATATTTCAACACTACCTAACTGATTTTCTGCTTGAAAAATATTATTTTCGTCAGGGCTTACGTTTCTACCACCAAATTTAGTATTTCGTTTATCTATTACAGTGTTTGATGTAATTTTATTATCCTCTTTAATTGTTTTAGTTTCCTTGTGATAAAATTGCCGTTTGCAACGGCAAGGAATACATGATATTCCATCAGAGTTAATATGAAAGCCCTTATTTTTTTCACTATCATCATGTGATGTATCGCTCATAATAATAATATATTAGAATAATATTATTTTCGTTTCAATTTTAAATATTGTAAAATCCCTTTACATATCTCCAACACCGAGTAGCAACACCTACGATATCTAGGCGTTGTTATTATTATCTGTTCTATTTCTTCAAGGTTGTCAATGACATCAATGTAATCACCGTAATTCATATATTAATAATGATATAATTTTTCTATGTATTAATAATAATGATTACACCTATAGTCAAGCCAGTTAATGTTAAAGAGTATGAATTTAAACAATCTAAATATGAAATTGCTCCCAGACTACCATTTAGTCAAATAATAGTTGGTCCTAGCGGTTCTGGAAAAGGTATTC